TTTACTATTTTCCATTAATGTATGTATCATGGAAATCTCTATTTTGTTTGAATTGGTGAAAAAGTATACAGAAACTCGGAAATTCAATGACATTCTAAAGGTTTTGATACAAAAATAAACATTGTTTTAATTAAAAAAAGGGGGACATTTTTCCTTATTAGTAATTTTTTTACAAGAGACCTAATTGTACCTATACGTTTTCTTTATCCCTAATTTAATTAACTTAAAAGCAATTAATTTCAAGAACACTTGACAAAAATAAATTGAAAAAAAAATTAACCACAAAAGTGTATGGGAGATAAAATAAAATTAGTAAAAAACAATTTTATAGTCAGCACTTAAAAATTAACTAATGGCAACGAGATAAAATAAATCTATAAAGGGTGTACACTATTTACAGAGGCGCTAATGAAATCTCGTAAAGTAAGATACACAGTAAAAACATTGTCAAATAAATTATTTACTTAAGTACGATTGGTATAGTTTTTTAACTATTACGGAATTAAATCAATCATAATAAGTAAAAATATGTTTCTAATCACGTAGGTATTTCTGTCAATAAGTAAAAAAGTTTTTTAAAATGACGTTTTTTAATAATCCCTGGTAAACAGTTAACTTAGCATCTGTGTGTCTACGAGAAATGAATAATATTCCTAAAATTGGTTTAATAACCCTAAAACAACAAATAGTTACGTTAAAATTTTTTTTATAATTCAAAAAATACGCTTACAATAGCAAAATGGTTAAATTAGAAAGTCACCGAATTATCGACAAACCAAGTCGATTAACTGCATTAAATAGGAGTAGATGGGCTGAAGCTACTATTTAAAACAATCTTTACATCATCTGTACCTACACTAAATAATACAATGCTTATTATTTTGTATTAGGCATAGCCGTGCTTTCACAGTGAAGATGTGGCGATATCCCCGCTATCGCTATACTGTTTGGTTTTGTCACCGACATTCCCACTAATATCCTTAGATTATACAAACCTTAGATGGAACATAAGATACTGCGCATAATCCCATTTCGAAATTATTCACACCCACCAATCACAGTTGAAAACATCATATGTCAGAGCGCTGTCCATCCAAATTTTATGTGTCAACGAGGATTAATTTGGTATTTTAGTGACTTAAATTTTAGAAATTAACGTTGAAAATGCCAAGATGTGTTGTAAAAAGCTTTATTTATAATGAACCTGCGAAATGTGACGGAGATAAAATAAACTTACATTTATTTCGGTGAGATATTTAATTTTTAAGGATTCAGTCGACGTCCATATTTGTTGATTTGAAAATAAACAGAATCGGACTTGGTCATTGGTACATGTTATAAGTAGCAAATAAAGGTTATTATTATAAACTATTTACTATTTCTTGTTTCATGGGGAATCTTTTTTTAGGAAGTGAAAAGAGAAACATACAATCAAATACAAAAATATCAATTTCATTGCCAATTTAATCGTTTCAAACTTCACAACTGGTTTCAATAGTTTTCTCAAAACTATTTATTTAGTAATTCTCTATATAACAGTGTTACTCAAAGTGTGCTCCGCGGAGCCCTGGGGCTCCGCAAAGACTTTGTGAGGGCTCCGCGAAGAAAATATTAACAATAAAAAAAAACAGTACTATCGCCACAAAATGGAGGGACCTGGCTTGAGGACCTTTTTTTAAGTTACTAAGAAGAAGGAGGATATGATTTTTATTTAGGACTTTTTTTATTTTATTTTTTATTGGTGAAATGGATTTGGGATAATTCTTGCAAGGAATCTTTGGAATAAATCAAAAATAAATTAACAACAAATGATGTTCTTGTGCATTTTCAGCCTGAGTTGCCGATTAAATTATTCGTAGATGCATCAAATGTGGGAATAAGGGCCATGATATGTCATGTTTTTGAAAAAAATATTGAGAAATCTATAGCTTCTGCTTCGCGTACCTTATCAAACTCCGAACAAAAATATTCCCAAATTGAAAGACATGTCCTTGCAATAATTTTTGGCTTAAATAAATTTATTGAATATTTATATGGACATTTCTTTATCCCAGTTACAGATCATTTACCTGTGTTAACTATTTTTAACCCAGCTAAATGTATACCACAATTTTCAGCCAACAGACTACGTAGATGGGCAGTAATTTTCTCAAATTACAATTATAAAATTGAATATGTGAAATCGGAGCCTAATATAGAGCCGATTTTTTATCATGTTTACCTATTAAAAGTCGAAATGAGAGTCAAAATAAAGAAAAATTTGAAATCAATTTTTTAAATTATATGTTTTATGTGTTTAGGGCTCCGTTAAATATTTCGCTTTTCAATAAAGGTTCCGTCGCCAAAAAAAGTTTGAGAAACATTATGCACCAGTTCCAAAAAAAAAAAAAAAAAATAAATAAAACTGCCTCTTTTTTGGTTTTTAAGTTGAAAAATCCAAAATTAAAAAAATCGAAAAATCGAGAAATCAAGAAATCGAAAAATCTAAAAATCGAAAAATAAAAAATCGAAAAATAAAAAAACGAAAAATCCAAAAATCCAAAAAACGAAAAATCGAAAAAACCAAATATCGAAAAAAAGGCATGAATAGTGACATTTCACATTTGAAAATATGACATTACGTTTAAGAACAAAAAAGAAAACAAAAACAGAGAAGCTGTAAATTGCGTTTTATTTTTAAAATAACACCGTTATTGAAAACTGCCCAGAAATGTTGGAGGTACAATTTTGACGTACTCCTTTAAGGATAATGGGCAAAAAGATTTTTTGTTCAACACTGCACATGTCCCTTATTTTTATTATTACTATTGAAAAAAAAAAAAAGGTCGTAGGGCAATCAAATACAACAATTTTCTATAATATTTGATTGGAAGTACCTACAAAAGAATGATGGTGAATCGTTTTTTAACACAATTTTATAAATAATCAAGTCAAAATTAGAAAAAATCTTGCATGTAAACACGTTACGAAATGCCGTTTTGTGTAACTCGTTCATTTTGCGGGACCTCGTTCCGCAAATATTTACTCGTTACACAAAATAAGGCATTTCGTAACTGGTTACATAAATAACTATTAATTGACTAATATTTTAATTCATCGAACGGTATTTTCCGTAAATAACTAAATCAAAAATAATTACCGGCATATAAGTACCAAAACATTTTTTTCTCTTCGAAGAGTAGGCCTATGTCAAATAAACTTAAAATATTATAACGAACGAAAAGGTAACCCATTTCTGATAAAATTTAATTATATATTTTATTTTGGTGTGATCGTAGAAAAAATCTTGTGTGTAATTCGAGCAAAAAGTACTTTGGCTGTTTCAAGAGCTATTTTGTTGCAATAATTTTATAAACTTTTACTTAGGGTTTTGTTAAACGATGTTTAAAATACTAAACGAAGATTAAAATGACATTTTTATATTAACAAAAACGAAGTTTAAATTACTAAATGGAGTTTAAAATGACATTTTTACATTAACAATGTCATTTTAATCTTCGTTTAATAATTTAAACTTCGTTTGACACAACGGTGGAATCGGCCCTTAGCTAGTTATATATTGATAAAGTGTTATTGCCCTCATCATACATGAATCGTGCTAACAAATAAAGTCAAAAAAAGTCTCATAATTTTTCATCTTTTAGTTACCCACCAAAATTAGGTACTACAATACAAATATTTAAGTCCGGCCCAGAACATCTCCCTACTCCTTCCACCCAGTTTTTTGGTTTTGGCAAAATTCGCGCAGCGACAAATGCTTCCTATGTTACCTCTACCCTTTCTAACCTCTTTGCTAATATCCCACCACCATATTTTCTTATTCTAATCGTCGACTGGCTATTGCCCTATTGTCATTTTATTAACTTATATACTAGTCGTATGCATAACACGAAAAATAAGTACTGTATATAGTAATATACATAAGATTGTATCTCTAAATATTTACTTAGTTCATGGTTTTTGATTTTTGATTTTTTTTTAATACCGATAAACAATTCAAGATTATAAACTTTCAATAATTTTCTCAAAACCATGTTTCTGTGATCAAGTTTAAATTTGTGAAATAAATGGTCAAATTTATTTACGTCAATTTGTATCTGTAACGTGTGGAGTGTGAGTTATCCCATGGCATATTGGCCTCACTAAGCCCATTTTACATCCTACTAAGTTGAGAGGGACTCAATAGTTCGGTGCTTCTCTTATATCGGCCGGTGTTGGTCAATCTCGCCGAATACAAATTTTAATAAATGAGAACCTAGAGCAATCGTAGAGGATATACTCGATGGTCTCTTCTTCTTGTTCACATCCTCTGCAAAGTGCGAATTCTGACAGCCCCATGCTATGGAGATGCTTCCGCTTTTAACAATGACCAGTCAGAATGCCTGTCAAAAAAACATATTTCCATTGTAGAAATAAATGTTATTAACTTTTAAAAAATAAAATAAATAAAGCGCAAAGCCATACTATGTCATACAAAATAGATAGCAATTGACAAATAAACCAAAAGCAAATGAACCAAAGCAAATGAACCAAAGCAAATGAACCAAATGAACCAAATGAAACAATGACCAGTCAGAATGCCTGTCAAAAAAACATATTTCCATTGTAGAAATAAATGTTATTAACTTTTAAAAAATAAAATAAATAAAGCGCAAAGCCATACTATGTCATACAAAATAGTTAGCAATTGACAAATAAACCAAAAGCAAATGAACCAAAGCAAATGAACCAAAGCAAATGAACCAAAAGCATATGAACCGAAAGCGGGAATTTTATGAACTCGTATTGGAAATTTATCGACAGATCAACACTATCTGTTTTTAACTTACGTTACGGGTATTATATTGTTCTCTTGAAGTCCTAAATCCTCACTTTAATTAAATATTCTGAATTTTTACATACCTTTTTTATGTATTCCGATTTGTACTTCTCCATAATTTTTGCGGTGACTCTTTCGATTTTTTTATTCAGTTTTCTATTATCTCTGTTTACCCTCTTACAGAACTGTGGGTATTAACAAACATTGTTCGTAAAATTCGCTTCAATTAAAAACATTTTCTACTTTAGGTATCCTTGGCAGATCTCTTTTCAATTTCCTCTTTTTCCGTTATTGTAACTCCAAAATATACACAATAACTTTTCCAACTGTTCATTTACTTTTAAAAATTTCCATTAACATCATTTTTAAAAATATATGTGTATGTGTAAGAAAAAGAATCCGTTTTCCACATAACTGTTATATTATTGTACGATTTAGATCACTATTTTGATATATATTAGGAAATTTACTAATGGATCTAATATATGTATGTAAGAATTTCAAATTCGATAACGATGGATCGATGGTATTTAGTTAAAGTATATGGATCCAAGCAGGTACCCGCCTCTTAACGGAGTGACGGCGAAGGCATTAAAGTGTCTTATTTATTAGCCATAAGAATCATATTTGTTATGTTAGAATTATGTATTAAGTTTGTTACGTAAAATTAATTTTAAAATAATTTCAAATTTATTTTGAACAAGAACTTCTCCATAACCCCTCGTAAATGACCAAAATTTAATCGAATCTGAATTGCGAAAGCAAGGCTTGCGCGCCGATCTCTCATTTTTCTTCTATATTCACGCTAGTGAGATATAAAACCTGCTGCTGTCGCTCAGATCGTCCGTTTTGGCTTATCGAACTACGTGGTGTGGTAGTGTGTGCCGACAAATAATTAACTATTAGTAGTTTTCCATAATTATCTTGTCTTTTATGTGTTTATTGTGTGTTAACGTTGGGATAATTGTCAGGTAATGTTTCTTTCACCTTATATTTTAACATTTTGCTTGATTTCGTTGGAAAACCGAAAGAATCGACTATTTGCTTTTTTTTATTACTTTCATGCTGGTTATTTATGTTTTATTTTATTTTATATAGATTATAGCTTCCCTATCTAATAATATTTTTAAGCTTTCTTTGATACTTTGATAATAAATACGCGGGGAGGCAACTAAATAATTGAATTACAAGTCAGTCTGGACATACAGTTTAAACGGAAATATATGGCTCTTAACTTATTTTGGTCTTATAAATATTTTATATTCTAATATTTGTCCCGTTTATGCATAAGTCCGTTAGATTTCCAAACTGGCATGTATATGTACTTTTAATGTTACTAAGGTTCTTTTTTATTTCTAAACCTGTAGTGGCTCCAAGAAGCTCTAAGCTCTAAGAAACAAGAAGTTCTGAGTTACGTAGTTGCTCCTAGAAGCTCCTAGAAACAAGAAGTCTGAGTTACATAGTTGCTCCTAAATGTTAAGAGATGTTACGAGTTACGTAGTTTCTCCAAGTTCCGAGCCCCAAGCTCCAAGTATCTAAGTACCTAAAGGCGGATGGTCCACGACACGACATACAAAAGGGAAGTACCGTACTAGAATGCCACATGGTCGGGACAATTATTAAACATTTTATTTATCAGTAAATTTTATTCATTCATTTATTCACATTTTCACATTTAATCACCAACTATTAATTTATTATATACAAATGTATTCTTTTTACTTTTTATATTAAATGTATTAAATTTTCTCACTTTCTTTTATTTGCCAGAACTCATATAGATAACTTTAAGTACCAGAGACTGACTCAATTAAATAGGACATATCAAATCAGATAAGATTTTCAAGTTACTCAAAAACTTTGGCGCTCAACATTTTAGTCGTTATCGTATTATAATATCTTTCATTTTATCGTAAAGTAGACTTTGGACCACGAACCGGCCAAGCTACTCTGATTTCATTTGTCCTGGTCAATTTATGAATCCATGCAGATTCAGCAATTTGAGCTAAATCACCTCTTAAGTACATCGTAGAAATCTAAAAGTTATCAAGTTCCTAGGGCAAGCTGGTCTGAAAAATAAGGAGATTTTCTTGTTTGTTTAATTTTGAAAATAGATTAATTTGATAAAAATATCGTGTTTTCTTACATGTATATTATCAAGAATAAGGAAGCAAGTAATATTTACATGTAACGTGATATTATTGTCAGTGAAAGTTTTGAGAAGTTTGTGATGATTTTTATAGTAGTTTTGATATGAAAGCAATAGATTCGTTGTCACAGATGCAAATATTACTGTCAGAAACAAAAATTCTATGAAGGTGTGCAGATAAAGTACCCCATGGTTCAATTTTAATCATCTGATTTGCAAATTGGATATATGCGGGTGTAATGGTTTTACATATTTATTTATTACCGATATTGACGACATTTTTATAATTATGATGGTTAATAATATTGTCTAGCTTGATTGCCTCTTTTGGAATTATATCCCTTGTATCGTTCCCTAAGATGTCACCATAACCCATTTGAAGATCGTTGTTTGTTTTTTGATTGAATACTTAAAGAGCTAGAAAAGTTTTTGATAGCTGGATTGATTTTTCATTCGAAAGCAGATTTAGAATATGACAAAATTAAGGCATTGTAAATGATATCATGATTTATTATCAATTTTAGAGTGATTTCAATAGCTAAGATTTCAGCAGTGAATATACAGAACAAAGAATTTTAAATATTAAAAAGAATCCTGAAATTTCTGCTCCATCTGAGGTTTTGAACCATCTGTGTATATTTTAAAATAATTATAGTTGGCAGGAATGAGATTGTTGATTAATACGAGTAGTATGAAGTTTGTTATATGTTGTTCAAAGTTCAAATATTGGTAATTTTTCGCAAGACCGTAACAAAAATAATGCAAAGATTCACCAAAGGAGGACTATTCTTTTTAATCCAATATTTGTTGGTTATATTTTTATATTTATAATTGGTGGATTGATTAAGAGGATTTTTATAGTGAAAACTTTTTATTCAACAGATTTCTTATGTAATATGTAAAAGATATCCGTTTTCCTTCCACCGTAATAATAATCATAAACGTAGTTCGATAAAGTATTTCAATGATGTCATACAATGTGTTACGAAATAAGGACATTATACTTAGAGGGTAACTTCATAAGAAAATCTATTCACCCTTTATTTTCGCCCAACAGTGATAGAAAGATCTTAAAAAGCACTTAAAACCGGCGTAATGAAGGGTATAAACGTGGATGTGGTGATAATAGATCAGGGTAAAATACCTATTGATATGGAAAATCACCAGGGTGCCTATTCTTAAAATTGGGGAGAGATAAATATTTTTACTTCCTTGTAAAAATTGGTATTTTTGAAATAGAATTCACCAAAATTGTTGAATCATTTTCTCTCAAAACTTTCTCCTACTTTCAAGTAAAGAAAATGAAAATAACGAGAGAATTCAATTCACAAGCATGCGCAGTGGGTGTCAGAATCTACAATCGTAGAGATTTAAACACAATTGGAAGGATATTCAAAGTTAAATTATTGCCAAGAGATTTGAATTTCTAGTTTGATTATATTATTAAAAACGACAATTTAAAACGTGCATTAATATTATTTCCTAGCTTTTCAAAATAGGTGAAAAATTCCATTGTCGATAAAAACAAATCATAAAACCTAAAAATATGTATAAAATGCCAGCGCCAGCAGTGTCATTTGCTGTCAAAAGTGAAAAGTTCGTAGTTTTTAATTGGTCGGATGACCTAAAACGATCTAGTATCTCTGTATTTATTTTGACCATAAAGTTTTTCCTTCTTTTGCCTTCACGTTATTTCAATTTTTAAGAAAGTGAAAATAAAGTGAATATATTCCCCGGAGTTTCAGTTTCTATCGTTTTCAAGCATGCGCACCCAGTTAATAAAATTGTTTAATAATGTTTTATTGTTAAAAATTAGTAACTTTTTTTTTGTAATTCTGGGTGGCTTGAATTATTCTGTAAAGTCAATTGGAAAGAAAATCAAGTTGTTTTGAAAAGAGATGTCACGAGGATTTATTGGAGAAAAATTTGAAATAAAAAGTGAGGGAGGAAACATGTAGCGTTAGATTGACTGGATGTTATACAAGGGAGTTGGAAATTAATTAAGGTATATTGAAAGAATTTTAAATTGCATAAGAAATAAAGTTTTAAAATAGAAGATAAAATATACTTTTTTATATAAAAAGTAGGATATGAAGTCAGGCAGAAGAAAATAGTTGAGTAGAGAACAATCAGAGCCAAAAATAAAATAAACCTCTGAAGATAGAAGAGAAGACAGAGAAGAAATAATAGAATATTTTTTTGTTATTACTATTGATATAAGATTTTTTGTAATTTCCAATTGAATTTTTAGATTCTGAACCCACCCTAGTTTCATATTTTTTTTTGGTTTGAAATCAGTATGAAGTCAGTACTAATTTATAATAAAATTGCTGAAAAATATCAATGAACATTCAAAATATAGATAAAACTAGAAAGAAGATATATAATTCTTGGCATTCTATATTATACTTCACAGTTTAACAGACCTCCCTTAACCCCCACTTTTAATCAGATTTTTTTAAGAATATTTTTACTAAAAATTTCATGTTGATATCACTTTTGGTGTTTAATTTCTATTTTTTTATTTAAACCCCCATTAACCTCCCATTTTGTTCACAAACTTTTTTAAAATCAATAGGCTTTGTCCTTTTTCCTAAAAATTTCAAGTTTATATTATTTTTCGTTTTTGAGTTAAGATTTTTTTAAATATTTCAACCCCCCCCTTAACACCCCATTTTTTTTTAATCAATAGGCCTCATTCTCTTATAAAGCTTGATTTTTCCCAAAGATTTAATTTTTTTTTTCGTATTATTTTTAATATTTCAACACCCCTCAAAACATTTTTGCTAAAAGTAGTATGTTGATGTCTTTTTTCTTTTTTGAGTTAGGAATTTTTTTATTAATTCAACTCCCCACAACTCCACATTTTAATTCAGATTTTTTTCAGAATCAATAGGCTTTATTTACTTGAAAAAATTTCATTTTTAGTTAGAATTTTTTTTAAAAACAATAGACTTTGTTCCCTTATAGAGCTTGATTTTTGCTAAAAATTTCAAGTTGATCATTTTTCCATTTTGAGTTAAGATTTTTGTAATATTTCAGGCACACTTAAACAC